GGGGCTCCACCTTCGGTCCTCCCGGGGCTCCGGTTCTCCCCGATTCGCTCTCTTGCTCGCTTGCCGAGCGTCATACGACGGCCGGTGTGGTCGTTTCCCTCGTTGTTGGTGTCGCTTCCTCCGCTGCCGCCTTTCGTCTTCGCTAGCCTCTCCCAGCTCCACCGGTTCTGAGAGTGTCGGCGGCCCGGCCGGGGTCACCCCGGGTGAGAACGGTGGCATTGGGTCGCGACCAGTTCCACCCCCGGGGGGTCGAGCCCGCTCTCCCTGGTTGTCTCGCGCCCGCACCCGCGGCCTCTCTATCGTCCTCGGCTCGCCCCCCCCCTCCGCCGGCTCCTCTCCAGGCTCGGGGGGGCGTGGCCCTCCCTGTGGAAGGTCGTGGTGGTCCGGTTGCCACTGCGACTGGCCTTCCCCTGGTGAGCCCGTACGTCCCGACTCCACTCTCAGAGGCCGCGTCAGCTCATCTCTCGCCTCCTCCGACAACTGACCCCAAGTCCCTTCCGGGGCCCTCCGGTCACGGCCCTCCGGCTCGCCGGTGGGCCCACTATCGTACCGCGGTAACTCCCCTCCCCCATCTCCTCCGCCCGGATACACCAGCCTCCGGCGGGGCGGTCCCGGACCCCCCAGGTTATTCCGAGCGGGTCCATACGGCGGCGGCCCCGCCGGCGGCGGGGGTGGAGGCGGTGGCAGGGGCGGCGGGTACGGTGGCGGCCCTCGCGGCCCAAACGTCTGGTGTGGAGCCGCTGGGGCGGCCCCACGACCCTGCAGCCGTTCCAGTGGCGGGGGTGGAAATGGCAGTGTGGGTGGCGGAAACGATGGCGGCACTGGCGGCCGCACCGCTTGGTGCAGAACCTCAGGGGCGGCTCCTCGACCCAGCGGTCGCTCCAGCGGCGGGGGCGGCCGCGATCGGCTCTTTTTTGCGGGGGCGAAGCTGATGCCTCTAAATGTATGTCATCCACGGGGCCGCTCCACGGGGCCGCGCCGACGCTCGCGCCGCCTCGCCGTCTCCTCCTCCGCCGCGCCCTCGCCAGACACGCCGCCGCCCGCCCGCCTCCTCGACCTCCCCACGGAGCTCCTCGTGCGCGTTTTCTCTCGCTTCGACAGCCCCCTCGACATCGCTCGCGTCGCGGCCGTCTCGCTGCTCTTCCACGCCTCGCTTGCGCTGGAGGGCACCCGCTTGTGGGCGCGAGAGCGCGGCTTCGAGCTGCCGGCGCAGCCGGAGGGCGAGGGCTGCGCCGTGCGGTGGCTGTGCTTGTCTGCGCTGCTGTGCGAGTTTAACCCGCCGGCGAGGGCTGCGGCAGACCGCTACCACAGCCTCTTCATCGTCGGCGAGGGGCGGCTGTCGTCATGCGGCTGTGCGCCGCGTCACGTCCCAGGCATCCTTGGTCACGGCGAGGGCGTGACGCGGCTCAACACGCCGACGCGGCTCCCGTCGACGCTTGGCGCCGAGCGTCCAGTGAGCGTGTCGGCTGGAGGATACCACTGCCTCGCCCTCACCGGCAGCGGCAGTATCTGGAGCTGGGGCCAGGGCGGCTTGGGCGCGCTGGGCCACCGCGACGGCCAGCATCAGTGCGAGCCGAAGAAGGTTGAGGCTTTTGATGAGCGCGTCATCGCTGTCTCGGCTGGATACGAGCACAGCCTCGCCCTCGCCGCTGACGGCGCCCTCTGGAGCTGGGGCGATGGAGAATACGGCAAGCTGGGCCACGGCGACGAGCAGCACCAGTGGCAGCCGAAGAAGCTCGAGGCCTTGGCTGACCAGCGTGTCGTCGCTGTCTCGGCGGCATCCAGCCACAGCCTCGCCCTCACTGCTGACGGCGCCGTCTGGAGCTGGGGCAGTGGAGGCCATGGCCGGCTGGGCCACGGCGACCAGCAGAACCAGCTGCTGCCCAAGAAGGTCGAGGCCTTCACTGGCCAGCGCGTCGTCGCTGTGTCGGCTGGAGGCTTCCACAGCCTCGCCCTCACCGCTGACGGCGCCGTCTGGAGCTGGGGCAGTGAAGCCTTTGGCCAGCTGGGCCACGGCGACCAGCAGAACCAGCTGCTGCCCAAGAAGGTCGAGGCCTTTGCTGAGCAGCGCGTCATCACCGTGTCGGCCGGGGAGCACCACAGCCTCGCCCTCACCGCCGACGGCGCCGTCTGGAGTTGGGGCTGGGGAGCCTTTGGCCGGCTGGGCCACGGCGACACGCAGAGCCAGCTGCTGCCAAAGAAGATCGAGGCCTTTGCTGGCCAGCGCGTCGTCGCTGTCTCGGCAGCGCAGTACCACAGCCTCGCCGTCACCGCCGACGGCGCCGTCTTTACTTGGGGCGAGGGCGAACACGGCTGCCTAGGCCACGGAGAGGACCTGTCGAACCAGCTGCTGCCCAAGAAGATCGAGGCGTGGGCGCCGGGGCAGTGAGAAGCCCGCGCAGTTTTGGACGAGGAAGGGATGCTCCGCGAGAGGAAGAGGACTCTGTTGCGACCCTGCTGACGGCGGACACCACACATAGGGCGGAGACCCCCGCTCCTCTTACCTTTATCTACCCATCACTACTAGGGCGTAGCCGGTAGGGGTGTGGATCGGCCGTGGATACACCAGGTCCAAGGACATGGTACCCTAGACAAAAAAAGATGTAAGGCGTGAATCCCTTTTCTCCGACTGTTGAGGCTTGAGCGTTGAGTCTTGAGAGGAAATACGAGCTAAAAAATGTCGGGTAAGCGGTAACGGCTACACCGCGTAAAGTTTTTAACGCGGCTAAAAATGTCGCAATCACTGCGGTTAAAGCTGTTCCTCAGGCTGAGAGTTGGTCGCAAGTTAACGGTAGGCTAAACTCCAACCCACGATATGGTAAGATTCTTAATGCCCGCAACGCAAGGCGGACATGGCATATCGCTCTCGGGCCCACAGACATCCCGCACACCCGCCGCCCCCGCGCGCGCGCCCCACCCCGGCCGGGAGAAAGGGGAGTGACAGTTTGGGATGGCAACAGAACGAGTATTGCACTCCATGTGCAAGAACGCAGATAAAGGACTGGGGGTGGTCCGGCCCACAAGTCCGGCTCATGCGCCCCGACCCATCTACCGCTGTACCGCACTGAACACTTGCGCCCCCTTGCTCCCAACCCATCCACCTCGCCTCGCGCCGCGCCGCGCGACCTCAGGCGATCTCGCGCTATCTCGGGCGATCTCGGGGCCGCGCTGCGCTATTTCGGGAGATGGAGGGTCGCTCGCGAGAGAGAGAGAGAGAGAGAATTCTTGATACGAAACCACGACGACACACACCAGTCGACTCGCATCGGTTGCCTCCATGAACGGCGGAGCTATTCTCGCGCCCACACCACACCTGGCTCCAACGTGGACACGCCCATAGCTGGGGACACTACTAGGTCACGCATGGCATCACAGAAGTTTTATCTCTGGGCCCCGAAAGGCATCTCTAGCAGTGTCGTTACACATGCCCCCTCCCCTCCTGGGCGCATGCGCCTCACGTCTCGCCAGAGCATAAGCCCTTGGCGTGTGGCGAGACGAGTTTTTCGCCATCACAGCGAGCAGCAACCCGCCCGCCGCAAACAGCCGGAGGCCTCGCCGCGGCACTGGCTGCGCCGCGGTCCCGCACCCGTCGACGCAGCTCCCCCCGCGGAAGACCGCGCGTAGCAACGTCTTGACGATCGAGATGAGCGTGCCTGAAGCTCGCCCACCTACTGCCCCTGAGAGTTGGTTATTGAGTGGGATCAGCTCCCCCCCTTGGGATCGAAGCCGCCACAACCTCACACCCAACATCCCAGGCGGGATCAGAAGGGGACTCCACACCGGACACTGCCCGGGCACAGCCCCCCTACCCGTCGGATCGCACAGAGGGCCCCCTCGGAGCAGCCCACACACAATCACGCATCGGCAGATTGAGTGCCTGAGTCAGGCAGACAGCACAGACAAGAGGAGAGAGAGGAGAGAGAGAGAGAGAGAGAGGAGAGAGGAGAGGGTGAGGGTGTGAACACACGTGAGGAGTGGGGGAGGGTGTCTGTGGTGGGTTGTAGTCTCTCTCTCTCTCTCTCTCTCTCTCTCTCTCGGTCGCTCGCGCGGCGGTTGGAGTAGGCAGGAAAATATATTTTATAGCGCGGTAGAGGGTCAGCTCGAGGCGCGTGAGCCGGACCTGTGAGCCGGACCACCCCCTCTTGTTATCTGCGTTGTTGAGCCAGGACTCAACATACTCGGGCTGTTGCCATCCCAAACTGTCACTCCCCTTTCTCCCGGCCGGGGTGGGGCGCGCGCGGGGGCGGCGGGTGTGCGGCGAGTGTGCGGGATGTCTGTGGGCCCGAGAGCGATATGCCATGTCCGCCTTGCGTTGTTTCATAACACCGAAGGCTAAGCTCAAAAAAAAAATATTTTATTCAGCAACTTTGCTGTACGGCGCTGCCATGCGCATCGTCCCGGCGGACCGCTCCTCGGCGCACCTCTCCTTCCCGCCCAGCCCGACGAAGCACGAGTCGGTCAAGTTTCGCGCAAAGTCGGTCGAGGTGCCGCCCGGCGGCGCCTTCTCCTTCCCGCTCCACTCGCCGGGGCCGGGCTCGCTGGTGCGCGTCGCCTTCCAGGTGCACGACGGCAAGGAGCTCGAGTTCGAGCTGTGGCAGGGCGGGGCGCGGGTGCACGCTGTGCTCGGCGAGGCGCACGAGGGCGAGGTCGTCGTCCCCGCCGAGGGGCTGTGCGAGGCGCGCTGGGCGCAGCAGTTTTCGTGGGTCGGCGCGGGCATGCTGATCTGGTCGCCTGTGACGGTGTCGTACGAGGTGGTGGTGGTGCCGCCGCAGCACCTCGCGCATGCACGCGTGCGGCAGCTCCTCCAGATTGCCCGCCACGGCACCGTCGCCGAGCTTCAGGCCGCGCTCGAGAACACGCCGCCGTCGGACAGCGACGAGGCGTTTCCTAGACCTTTCCTAGACCGACCTTTCCTGCACCTTTCCTGCACCGTTCCTGGACCCTTCCTGTAGGCCGGCCTCACGGCGCTGCACGCGGCGGCGGCGGCGGGGCGGCTCGACATGCTGGAGGCGTTGCTCGCCGCCGGTGCCCACCATCCTGCTCTGACACCACACCACACAACACAATACATTACACCGTGTTGTGTTGTATTCTACCAGGTGCGGAGCCCGACGCGGTCGACTGCCGCGGCGTGACGCCTCTCCTCGCGGCGTGCGAGCACGTGCAGACCGAGGCGGCGCAGGCGTCGTTAGTCAGTCTGCGAGACCGCACCCGCCCCTCCGGCAGCGAGACGAGTTTCCCGCCGCGCGCTGCTCTCCCCACGCCACGCCCTCCACTCGCTCCGTCTCACGCAAAAACACAACCCCGGGCCAAATACGCGCAAGCACAGACCGTCGAGAAGGGAGAGACGGCAACGCCAGTCTCACAAGAAGGAGTCGGCTTCGATACGCCAACACCGCGCCGCCAGCACCTCCCTGACAGGCGCTCCTCCGCGCCGGCGCCTCCCTCGACGCCGTCGACGTGGCGGCCGACGGCTGCCTGCACGCGCTCGCCCGCTGCGACGCCGAGCACGCCCCGAGGGCGGCGGAGGCGCTCTCCTGCCTGCTGGCGCTCGAGAGGGGGGCGTGGCAGCGGGCGAGCGGCGCGGGGGCGGCCCCGCTCGCGCAGCGGGTCAGCCGCCGCGCGCGGGGTAGGGCGGCTCGACATCGCGATCCAAGGGCGCACGCTTCGCTGGAGCGTGGAGTAGGCCAACCGGCGCGGAGAGACGCCGCTGGTCGCCTTCGCCGCGGCGCGCATGACGGCCTGCTGCGAGCTGCTCCTCGAGGCGGACGGCAGGCCGGACGAGGAGCGCGAGGCGGACGCGTTCCACGCGCTGCGAGGCGCCGCCAGCCAGGGGCACCTGCCGACAGTGCGGAGCCTCCTCGCCCACGGCGCGCACCCCGCTCGCTCGATCGGCGGCGAGGGGACGGCCATCCACGCCGCGGCGGCGGGGGGGCACGTGGACGTGCTGCACGTGCTGCTCGACTGGGTGCGGCGCGATGACTCGGACCGCGCCTCCCGCGACGACGCGAGCCTGGAGGCGCGGGGCCGCGCCGGGCCGGCTCGCGGCAGAGGGTGAGGGCGTTGACCTGGTTGGTTCATGCGTGGAGGTGCGGCCGCGCCGGGCCGGCTCGCTGCAGGATGCTCTTCGCACAACCGACGCGGAGTGGAAGAGTGAGGCATGTAGCCGAGGGAGGTAGCCGGGAGAGGCAGCCAGGCAGCCGAGGGAGATTGCCGGGAGCTAGCCGAGAGAGGTCCGCATCTCGCCACCGCCGCCGCCGAACTGCGCGGCTTGCAGGCGCGCTGCTGTGTGCCGCGGCGTCCGGCAGCGCGCTCGCGTGCGAGACGCTGCTGGCCGCCGGCGCCGACATCGAGCAGAAGAACGGCACCGGCGACACCGCGCTGCTGGTCGCGGTCATGCACGGGAACGCGCACGCCGCGCAGGCGCGTGCGACGCGCCCCGCGCCACGCCGCGGCCCCTCCACCCCCGGGACAGTGTCTCCGCACCGGGTTCGATACTCTGGAGGTACGGTACCCCACGGCACGCATCGGCCCCTCCACCTCAGCTCCGCTACACTCGCCGTGCCGGCGCGGCGACCCCCACGCCGACGCACTCGTATGCCGTGCCCGCGCGGCGGCGCGCCGCGGCTCGGCGTTGCGTTGGCTGCGCGGGTGACACGTGTCGCGCGCGTGCAAGCCAGGCGCTGCTCGCTGCGGGGGCGGCGGCGCGGCATCGGAACGCGGCGGGCCTCGACGCGCTCACGAGCGCCGCGCGGTACGGCCACCTGCCGCTGCTGCCGCTGCTGCTGCCGCAGGCGGGGCGAGGAGTGAATGGAGCGGATGGGAGTTCACTCATCGAGGGCGTGATTGGCGAACGAGCTCGTGCTGCCTGCAGGCGGGGCGCGACGGCATCCCCGACGCGCTTCTCGCTGCAACCGCCGCGGGGCACGTCAAGGTGCCGCCCGGCGGCGGAGCGGGTGGCTCGACCACTCTCCTGAGCAGTCTGTGAGAGAGGTGCCGGACTTGCTTGTCCAGGTTGCCCTCGCGCTGGTAGAGCTCTGCCCGCTCGCCACGCCGCCGCCGCTCGAGCCGGACGCAGCCGCCAGCGCGTCGGCGCAGGTGCTGCAGGCCTTCTGGCGGCGCTGCTACGAGGAGGCGGTGGAGAGCGCGCCGTCGGCGGAGCAGCTGGCGGCGGAGAAGGAGGCGGCGGCGGCCGAGGCGGCGGCGGCCGAGGCGGCGCAGAGGGAGAGGGAGGCGACAGAGCGGAACGAGGCGGCGGCAGCGGCGG